CCATTTTTGTATTAGTATAATTATGTGGCAAGTACAATCATACTCTATACCCAGAGAAGTCGAGATATTTTTCAAACCGAAATAATTCCTAGACCGGACATCCTAGACGACCCTAGCCACTCTCAGCATGGTTTTGCTATATAGCTGTGCTTTTACCGAGCGAGCTAAGGGAGGCCCTTTTGACACACGTTCAAGTTGAATCCAAGGCTGGCATCAAAATTAGTTCTTATTAGAATCCTGAGGGTGTTTTGAGGGAATTCTTACTACAATTTCGCGATCATTTGGAATGGATTCTTTTGGAATTTTCAGGAGGATTTCAAGTCAGAAGAATCTAAGAAAGGTATCTGAGAAAAAAATTTCTTAATTACAGACACAATTTAAATGGAATTTGAGAGGATACTTCCTGAATTTTAGAATTCTGGGAAAAAATGCTACGAAATTAAAAGGAAAGTTTAAAGGGAATTCCGTCATAATGCCGTGAAGAATTGAAGGAAAATTCCATGTGAAATCTGAAGATAATTTCAAGGAACTTCTGGAAGCAGTTCAAATTAATTCAGGGAAACATTTTAAGGAGGTTTTGAATTGAATTCCAAAGGGATTCTGAAAAGAATTCTAAAGAAATTATTAGCAGAGCTTCTTGTGATTGTTTAGATCATTTCTAAGGAGTATTCCAAATTAATACCGTGGAGAGTTTCATTGGAATTCCTTGGAGAGTTCTAAATGAATAGCTTTTAAGGAATTCCGAGGATTTCCTCTTCTTCTTCTTCTTCGCATTTCAAGCTTATTGCATATCGCATATTAACTTATTGCGTGCTCTCAACTTAGTGTTCCAAAATGCACTTCCACAGATACTAATTGAGCGCTTCCGATGCCTGTACCATTTTTGCATTAGTATAATTGTGTGGCAAGTACAATCATACTCTATATGCTAAGGGAAGTCGAGAAATTTTCCAACCCGAAAAATTCCGAGACCGGCCCGGGAATGGAACCAAGCCACCTCCAGCATGATCTTGCTTTGTAGCTGCGCCTTTACCGACTGAGCTAAGGGAGGCTCCGAGGATTTCCTCACGGTAATTAATTTGCATTTAATGGAATACATATCTAGGAAAATCCCATGTTAATATTGAGTAGAATTTAAAAGAAAAAAAAATCCAGCTGAGCAGAATTTAAAAAGAATTCGGAGAATAACTCCATATGAAATTTGGGAACAAACCTATGAGCTGCACACAAGCTTTTCAAACCATCAATATATGTGAACCATCTTAGAAGTAACACTCCTACACACTCAGTCTAGCACGGTAAAATCTCCAACAGCCGGTCATCATTTACTTTTGCTGGTATTTATTTAAACTATATGTATGTTAGCTGAGAGCTCAGCAAAAATCTAATTTGTTAGCTGAGTCTGCAATTCCTTTAACTCTAGATTTTAACTTTAGATTCAATACATTAATAATGTAAACGCAAAAGATAATTTGGCTCTGTAAATTTTATTTGGTTGAATCTGCACGAATTAATAAATTAACGAAAAAAAGGCTGAGTCTTGGGAAATTGTTAAATGAATTTAAGCAAAATAAATTGCAGAACTACTCGGATGTCGAGTGTTCACTGGGCTGTCGACAGAATCAGACCACTCTCAATGTGTGTTACGCGATCGTCTGTTTACTCGGCAGCAACCATTGTGTGGTCCTTCTCATTGTTCTTCATCTGCAGTTCTTTCAGTCGATGCGTCGTCGACTTTGGAAAGCAACCGTTTCGTGATGAATGTGTGAGTAATGACCACGTTTTGCATTCATCGCTGCAATGGAAGCGCTCTGACCCTCGTTGGCGAATCTGCCATACAATGAAACCACTGGATAAAATGTTTATTGTGTTGTACCTTTTGACTATAGATTTAGGATGTATTGTATAGTGAACAAGAATCCTCGGCTCTGTAAAGTTAATTCGGTTGAGCCTTATCAAATAAATTAATAAAACAACATATGTACTCGAATGTTGGATTATCGGCCAACAAATTTAAGTGTGTAAAGAATACCTAGGAGAATTTCATGATAATTCTGCGCGCATTATTAAGAATTAAGGAAGTTAATGAATTAGAAGTGGATTGTATACTGCATTCCAAAAAAATTCTGAAGAAGATTTCCAGAATGGTCTGCAGAGCAATCGTAGAGTGTGAAGTATAATATAAGGGACTACCAGAAGAGTCTCAAGATGAACATTGTGAAAATTCTGTGATGATTCTTCAGCAATCCTCTGAAGAGTTCCATCTATAAAAATGATTAAGACATAGTAATGATCTAAAGATCACAGAAATAAAATTAAGATCTAGAATATTCAAAAAATTCAAGTTTCAGACACATTTAAAAAAATTGAAATCTTATGGTTAATTATCATTATCATAAAGAAATGCTCAAGACTCTGTCCAAACGATGTTTTTTTTTTAAACATTTGCTTACTATGGCAATGCATGGCATGCTATGGCAAGACTGTTTTTGTTACGGTCAGTTTGTCAGCAGTTCAACAAAGTTTTTTTTTTAAATATTTATTTACAATGTTTTCAGCCAGGTTGGTTCATCTTGAGATTCAACCAAGATAAAAATGTAAAAAAATTGCAAAATTGGGTAAATTGATAGTCGACTACAGCACCATTTTTTTCACAACAACCATAGGCTTATTTATCGTTGTCATGGAAACGACATATTCAATTTATATGGGATTCTGATAACTTGAAACAAAGATAGAGCAAATTAGAGAAATGTGAAAATTTCCCATATTTATTTGCCATAATATTCATACAAATTTCAAATCATTTGCGTGACCTTTTCATTTTCAGCACAGGCTCGTATTTTGAGGCTATGAATCAAACTAGGGATTATATTGCAAATTTTTTTAACAAAATGAAGAACCCTAATGTTATAAAGTCTACGATTAGTTTTCATAGTTTGGAGTTTCATTTCTGAAGTCCAGGATCGTTTGAAATTATATCTTCTGGAAGGACCGGAGAGGAGAACGCTAAAGAGTTTAGCACAAGGAATGTGTGTCGAACTTTTGAGAGATATCTACAGATATTTGAAGAATAACAAGGAAATTCAAGGGATCTCAATTGAAAATATTCGGAGAAATCTTGAAGTTTCCGTTGTCTGGTCTGGTGGTGATTATTTTTTGACAGATTCAATAGGTCTTTACTTGAATCTAAATCACATAGCTTTTGAAAGATGATTCCTGAAAGATAATTCATCCTTTTTAGGAAGCTCTCCCTAGCAACACACTTGTCACTGAACAATTGTTGTTACTTGTGTTCAACTTATTCCAGTCACAATCAAGGTGTTGTTACTTGTGTTCAACTTATTCCAGTCACAATCAAGTTGCAGCAACTTATTTCGATGGAAGTATGCTACTTTTGCTGATTCTCTTGGTATTATTTCTATTCTCCCTCCAAAATTTTTCAACTCTGTGAGCACTTTCATGGAAAATAACTATTCTGTAAGCAAAGGGTGCTCAGAATCGCATAGGTACATACCAAAAGTGGTGAAATTTATACTGTTGTCATAACTGATGCTCTTTGCCTACATATCTGGAAATCCATTATCGATATAGTGCTAGCTTCTTTCCTCTACTCCGGGTGATCTTTATTAACTGTCGGTGATTTTCACACGTGTAATACTCAATTGATAAAATGATACATATTGCAGTTTCATTTTTATTTTTAAGTGTATTCAAATGTCAGCTTAGCTCGCTGTTTTGAAATTCGATTGGTTTTCATTTTTAAACAGCCATGATCGCGTAAACGTACAGTAGAAAACTAAACAAACAAAATCTTCGTATTACATTAGGTAATGAAAACGTTCAAAAATGTGAAATGAGATTTAGGCGTTATTCTAGATTCTAAATTGACATTTGTGGACCATTATAACACAATAATACATAGAGCAGGCAATATGCTTAATTTAATAAAACGTTTCGGTCTCCACTTTAAAGATCCTTATACAATAAAATCACTTTACGTTGCTTATGTGAGGTCAATATTTTATGCACTACGTAAGTTAGGTTGGACAGCTTTTCCTCTCCCGTCATATGAAGCACGGTGCTTGTTGATCAGCATTCAAACATTGAAAGAACGTCAGGATTACGCAAAGATTTCTTTATTAAACAATATCATTTCGCAACGCATTGACTCAGCTGGTCCATTGTAAAGATTACATTTGTATGCACCTTCCCGACAATTACGCAATCGACACTTGTTCGCAGTAGATCGCCATCGGATCAATTACGCTAAATTTTGACCGGTAAATCAGATGAAGACTGTTTATAATCATCATTGTGAAATGATTGACCTAAATATGCCCTCAAGTAAGGAAGCTTTTTATCAACCTGCCTCTACACCTGGTTTGAATCTTCTTGACCCCAAGTCAAGCTAGCTGATAACAAGGTGTTCACTTTGGACTCTTGCAAGAAGCATTTACTGCAAATATGACATGAAATACCCCTATAGGTTGTGCGTACAAACTGTGAGATCATTTCACGACGCATGCGGCTGGTAGTTAATTCAAAACGAGAGAAATTCGAACTTAACTGGACGCTATACACAGTATTAGAAAAATAAAGATGTCAACAATTATCATCACTTATAGATGTCCTGATAGCTACGATTGCAAGCAATTTAGAATAAGAAAAGACAGGTACCGTTGTTGGCGGATGGAGTCTGAGCTGGTATTATTTTTTCTGTATACCTGATTTTCTGTAATAAAGATACCATTTGCGGTCAGTATTCCCACTAGTTACTAAAGATCAGGCAACCTGGAATTGTGAAAACTTAATACCGGCTAAATCTTCATCCACATGCAACGATACCTCTCTGTCATTCCTGGTCTATCTGAGTATAGGGAAAATTAGAGTGCTAGTCATCCAGTGGCAGAGTCCGTTGTAACCAGCAATCAAATTGCGTCTAGAAAATCACATTCACACACTTTCCCTAACACTTTCATAACACCGGGAAAACTTACCTTGCAAAAATTTCGATCGGCTTCACTCGTACTCCAGAATTTCCAGACTCGCTCTCTAGCTTTTTACTGCTCAAACCTGTGCAATAGGTACTTGAAGCACCGAGTTTGGTTTGGTTCGATGGATGGATGGATGGTGTTTGCGCGTAAAGCAGGAGCTCTGTTCAAAACTTTCAAACTCCGAGAGAAAATTTTGCTTCCAATAAACTTTTTTGTTGTTGTTGTTACTTGCTTTGATTTGTTTTGTATATCTTTTTTTTGCGATTTCCAAAGAGACAATTTTTGCTTAAATTTTGATTTTCGAACAGTGTCGCTACTTTTGTTTTCGTTTTTTGTTTTGTTTTGCCGAAAAATGTTAATTTTGAACCGAAAGGTTTAGTTTCATGTTTCGAGGTGGTTGAAAAGTTTTACATTAGAGCTTCACATTTAGTTCTGCGGTCCTGCGGCTTTTCCCCACTACGATCTGGATTCATAGGGAATGGCTGCTGCTGCCGTTGCTGCTGCTGCTGCTGCTGTGACTGGCGGCATTCGAATGGCCACCTCCGGTGATAGCACTGCTGCTGGTATTGCTACCACTGTGGTCGTCGTTGCTGCAGTTTTCTGCTGAATTGGCAAACTTTTGCGAGAATTTCATCGGCGAGCACTTGCCTATTAAGGCTCGGTTGGACATTTTCCACTCACTTAAACTTAGAAATGCGAATATTCTTTACCGTCCGTTATCGCTGATAATAATTTAATTTCTTTTTCTGTATGATACAAGGATTAATTTTAAACTTATTCACTTCCGAAAATGTACACACATTTACACACAATCTGCGCCTTACTGGATTAAATTTTCTTCGATTACCACACTGAATTTTCCGAAATTACAAAAAAAAAACGAGTTTTGTCACTTTTTCTTTGCCTTACTCTTCGTAGAACATAAATACTTTCCGAAAGGATCAAATTTTCATCACTTGTTATGCCGAAATGGATTTTTCATGAAACCAAAAAAACTGCAATTTTCAATTTAAAAACTTCACATCGGGATCGACTCTCCCTTCCTTCTCCGGTGTCGGTGTGTATCACAAACCCGAAATTTTCTCTTCCCGGTCCGGAATCCTCGGAGTTCGCTACACTCTGCGGTCCACCAGTTCTTCCTCGTTTGCTGCGCGAAATCTAACTGCCGGGTGCACCCCTGATGCACTTGTGTGCAAACTCGGAAAAATCGGATTCTCCTGCTTGCTTGCCGATGGTCCTCACCGGTGCTGCTGCTGCTGCATTGGTGTTTGTGTTAAGGGGAGGAAAAGTGCAACACCCCCGAAGCGACGCAATTTTTTTTTTGTATTTCTTCGGTAGAACAATTTCTTTTTTTCGGAAGTAAGGGGACCGTGGTATGTTTCCCCCGCTTTCGCTTGGTAGAACTTCTCACTATTCTATAGGATTTACAATCAAGAAATTGCGAAAATATTCGTATATCTGAGGATCACACAGAGTTTTCACAGAAACTTTTCACAGTCGAAAGAGAATTCAACCTTCCGGGTCCGCAGGTGTTGGAGGGTGAAAATTCTACAGCCCCTAGGGTAAACTTGGCGCGCGATCTGCCTAACAGTCCACGCGTATCACACTGTTCATTCTTTCAGCTCGTTGCCCGACTGGTTGGTTCAGAACCGCGAAAGCGCGGTCGTAAGTCCACTACTCAAGCACTGCACTTTTGAAAAATATTTGAATTTTGCACTTTTGTTCACTGTAAAAAAAAATAATTCACGATTCAGATCACAAAACCGATCCAAGTCCGGCGAGCACACTTCCGTCGCGTGGTGCTCCTTTCCCAAGACGTTCAGAATGCACCTCGTCTTCCTCGTCGTCGTCGTCGTCCTCGTCTTTGTCGTCGATTGCGTGTTCCGGTTGCGTATTTTTCTGTTATTGTTGTTTTTTTTTATTACTTGTAGAGCAATGAGCTATGTGTATGTTGTGTCTGACGATTCGCTTAGCTATGGTTAATTTCGATCAAAAAATTTCAAATGCAAATTTCGCGCAAAAAACTCGGTTTCAAACGATTTGGGTTCTTTTGGTTCTTCGAAGTGCACGCACCGAAAATACTGCTTGCTCCCGAGCACCTCCAAAAGCTAGGGCCGAATAGACAAATATGAAAAGTGTAAGCTGCGTTTTGGCAGAGTGTGGCCCCGGCAGTCACTCACCGACACACACCGCATATACACATAGGCACTGCTACTGCCTGCCTGCTGCTGCTACCATTGCCATTGCCATTGCTGCTGCTGTTGCTGTCCGACCATCATCAAAGCACGCTCAGCGCACTTCGAACAAAACACACAGCCAAAAAAAAAACACCCAAAAAATACACTGCTGAGTCCTGCTAATGCCTATGTATGGGTGCCTGTGCAGTACGGTGGGCAGAGGAGGCAGCAGTAGCAGCAGCAATAACAACCAAAATGCGTGTGAATGAAATGCGTCTCGAGGCCTAGTGGGAGAGCGACGGGCGTGCGAGTGAGAGAGCGAGCGATCCAACCACCCCACAGCATACCGGGCGTCCGTCCACCTCACCGTGAGAAGAGAGCATATTAGAAGAGTGACAAGCAACATTATGTGCGTATACCAAGCTAGGAGGAGCGCGCCTCTATGTGTGAGTATGGGTGGGTAGGCAATTGCCGAAAAATACACTTTGTTTTGTTGGCCCACTGACTACGATACGACACGGGGAGGGCCCGAAAGCGCAGGGAACTCATGCTCTTTTCCAAGCAGCGTCCCGAATGACGATCGACGACAACGACCGACGCGAGAAGAGGTCTATTGCTGCACAAGTGAATAGGTTTGCTATGTAGCTACACATGGGGATGGAATTGCCGAAAAACCACATAATCGTACGGGGAGAGGAGGTGAGATGGAGACAGAGAGTAAGCAAGCGCGCGAGAGTGGGCCACCCGAAAAAATCAAGAACCGAAACAGAATCATGACTTCGATGTGCCTTTATGCGATGCTGGTTGTTATTGGTAAGATTTTTTTTATTAATTCGTTTATTTGTACAGGCTCAGTCGAATAAACTTTACAGAGCCGATACATTCTTTTTCTTCTACAATAAGAATCTTAAAACTAGAGTTAAGAATCTTAAAACTAGAGTTAGGGAGTTTTACAATTTAAGGATGGGGAAAGGTTGAGAGGATTACGAATTTCATTTGTTTTAATATGGTAAGTATTTCTAAAACACTTACTTAAATCTAAAGAACTGATCATATCAACATGAGATGAACATGAATACTACAGAAGGAATGTATACACACACACTCTTTCTCGCAAACACATTCATCCTGACGAATATACCAAATTAATTAAGAAAACAAACTGTCTTCAACCTAAGGTTAATGAATTTCAATAATTAATATATGAGTTTCATAAAATCCAAATCGCGCCCCGCCAAGATATCTCGAACCGGAACATTGGGTTGTCTACCTCGAGCCCGAAGGGAATCATACAAATGTGATCTGACTCCTCGATACTCCGCACAAGACCAAATAATATGATCGGCGTCTTGGTAACCTTGTCCACATTCACAGAGATTGCTGTCTCCCAACCCCACACGGAACAAGTGAGCGTTTAGACAAAAGTGATTGGACATGAGACGAGACATCACGCGTATGAAGTCTCGACCCAAGTCCAACCCTTTGAACCATGAAAACTTCGACACCTTAAGGATAATTGAATGTAGCCATCGTCCCAAGCTTTCTTCACTCCATTGCACACTGGGCCAGGAACCGTAATTAGCAAGACAAAACCTCTAGCGCATTGGGTTTGCATTATATTGAAATGATGTCTTTCGCAAAGTTTCTCGGTTTAACATGCGCCTTCATCTGGTAATGGAAATTAGTTCCAAATTTATCCGCATAGATGGTGCTGCGATACTAAATTTCTTATCTCACATGCTAGAGGTTTTGTGTCTTCGGCAAAGTTGTAGAACATTAAAAAATATAAAAAATGCGCAAAAATTCAAAGCTCTAAGTCTTCAAACAACAAAGATATAGTGAATATTGTAAAATTTAACTGAAATTTACGTTTTTTGTACTATTTTCCATACAAACGACAAATCCTTCATTTTCAACGCAGTGTATCTTTTAAGTCGGATAATTTGCAAGTTTCAAGGAAGAGTTCTCAATGTTTTGGGTCGATACAAGCGAGATGTTAGCCAAAATAGTGAAAATTACCACGATTTTCATAATCCGGTTTCTTGAAAAGTAGCAAGTTTTAGCAAAAAGTCATTTACTTTCTGAAATGTACCATTTGTCATCAATCAAAGGTGATAATTTGCCGGACATATAATTTTATATATTTGAGATATCTGAATTCATAGACTACAATGTTTATTCAAGCAGCGTTCGCCAACGCACGGCTTGCTGGCTGCATGCGATGGAAACGATAGAATATGTCTCTTATGCTTCGCTAGCTGCACGTTGGCGAACGCTGTACTAATGTATGCACAAAATTTCTTCATGTTCATGTTCACTCTAGAACATGTGTGCGTGTGACAAAAGTCGATGATGATAGTTGATAGAGCAGTGCACGGTCCCTAAGCTCACTTTTTAGTTACAAAATTTTTGTCTCTGAGTAAAAGAGATGGCAACGAATGGAAGCCAAAACAAACCACCCAAAACTGTCAACATTTACGGATGAGAGAAGAGTGCAAGCAAATCTTCGTGCACTGATCTAATGTTGAAATGAGAATACACATGTACTACTTACTGATTGACTAACTGAAAATGTAAGTACGAAAACGGAAGCTCTGTTATTTCGAAGTAATGTTGACTCTTCCGGTGGATTATAATTTGTGTTATTTTGAAGTATATAACTGATAATTATGGCAGAAGGTAGGTTATTTTTAATTGTTCAGAAGGTATTTATTTCATTATTGAAAATAAAAAGTATGCAGCGTGAGTGTTCGGGAAATCGTAACATTATTTTTCAAAAAATATCGCTCGTTGATCTGGCATCGCATATGAAAGAGAAAATTATTTGTCCCGAAAGTGAAGCCTTTGAACAGTCCTTTCACAAATCGCTTAGATTTCTAAAAGCAGACTTTGATTCACATTATGCCAAGTCCTGTCGCAACAAGCGTTTGTTTTTCCTAAAATATACAAAATGACTGGATTCTCGATTCAAAGCTCAGGACGATAGCCAAAAGAAAAATGTAGGTGGAAGACCAAAAAAATCTTTTTGTGAAGATAACCAAAGAACAAGGTTAAAAGCCCAATCAAGTGCCAAACCAGAGATCGAACGATTTACAGCTGACAATGCTTTGCGATTTTTTTTTTTGTGCGAAAATGATCTTACAATAAAAGAAGAGTTCAAGAAAATAGGACTGAGAATAAGTGTACCGTTACCATCTGGAGGTAATTTCATTTTATCGTCTTGTTACCTTACATTACGAATACATTTTAATTTCATCAGGTAATAGTAATGATGGCAACCAGAGATGAACCAGCCGATGGTTGAAAGTCTCTTTAAAAAAGAAAGATAAGATACACCGCCAGAAGATTATTTCAGAATCCAGAAATAACGGCAAGAATTACAGGAATTGAGAAGGATATCCTTTGTTGATTTATTACAATTCTGTGTGCGCTATCTAGCAAGCTTGAAATCGACTTAAAGGCATTCGAACCCTACGCATAAGAGACTAGAAGCTTGTCCATTATTATAGTTTTTACACTTTGCCACCTACGGGACACAGGTTCTTGGTGCATGGCCCGACAATCATAAGCCATTGTGATATTCCGGTTGATTTATTATCCGAAGAGGCGCAAGAGCGACGAAACAAATCCATCAGAAAATATCGGGAGTACCATTTTCAACAATTCAGTCGTCTTGCAAAAATCGAGGACGTATTCCTGACTTTTGCTGACCTCTGACCCGGTGATGTTTCCTCAGACCAAGAAATAGCAATTTCCAGGACCCGTGCAAATGCTGTTGCAATAATCGACAATGCAAGATAACAGGTAGTTGTTAGAGTAAAAAAAAAATACTTTGAATCTAGATATCTCATCACACAATCACACATGTTCGAGAATATACATGAAGAAGCTTTGTGCATACATTAGTACAGCGTTCGCCAACGTGCAGCTAGCGAAGCATAAGAGACATATTCTATCATTTCCATCGCATGCAGCCAGCAAGCCGTGCGTTGGCGAACGCTGCTTGAATAAACATTGTAGTCTATGAATTCAGATGTCTCAAATATGTAAAATTATATGTCCGGCAAACTTTCACCTTTGATTGATGATAAATGGTACATTTCAGAAAGTAAATGACTTTTTGCTAAAACTTACTACTTTTCAAGAAACCGGATTATGAAAATCATGGTAATTTTCACTATTTTGGCTAACATTTCGCTTGTATCGACCCAAAACATTGAGAACTCTTCCTTGAAACTTGTAAATTATCCGACTTAAAAGATACACTGCGTTGAAAATGAAGGATTTGTCGTTTGTATGGAAAATAGTACAAAAAACGTAAATTTCAGTTAAATTTTACAATATTCACTATATCTTTGTTGTTTGAAGGCCTAGAGCTTTGAGTTTTTGCGCATTTTTTATATTTTTTAATGTTCTACAACTTTGCCGAAGACACAAAACCTCTAGCATGTGAGATAAGAAATTTAGTATCGCAGCACCATCTATACGGATAAATTTGGAACTAATTTCCATTACCAGATGAAGGCGCATGTTAAACCGAGAAACTTTGCCAAAGACACCATTTCAATATAATGCAAACCCAATGCGCTAGAGGTTTTGTCTTGCTAATTTCGGTTCCTGGCCCAGTGTGCATTGATGTTGCCAGTTAACGAGCGACTGCTGACGGTAAATAGAAAAAAAATTCACCATAGGCGATTCGTCGATCATAAATGTCGCCTTCCATAGCGCCCACCTTCGCAAGTGAATCCGCCTTCTCATTGCCCAAAATTGAGCAATGCGAAGGGACCCACGCGAAGGTGATGATGAAAGAGCGCACGGATAAAGCACTAAGCAGCTCTCGTATTTTCAAGAGAAAATACGAGAAGTGCCTTACCAGCCCAATGGAACGGATAGCCTCGACAGAACTGCGACTATCCGTAAAAATA